TTTTTAGTATTTAGCATCTAAACAACGCTATAGGAGTTTAACTTTCATTAATATTTGTAGGTACATTTCTTGTGACCCAAAGAAGTTATACCACAAAACCATTACATTCCATCAAAACCCTCCAGTCAGAATCTAGTTGAAACGCTTTTGCCTTACCACAAATTCCATGAAAGTTATTCTGAACCGACCACGGTTCCTTCCGAAGGGAAGCAAACAATCCTCCGCTTCCTCGACAGTAGCGAGCGAACCAATTAAGAGTGCGTTCCATTTCTGTTTCCTAACAGCTCTCGGCCAGGTGATGCTCTACGTGGACGGTATGAACGGAGTGATGGAGCATGGTCAGACGGTTCAGTGGTTGTACACGTTGATAGCCAGCCGGTTCCGGTTAGTGGTGAAGACCGCGTTGAAACTGTTGCTGGTATTCGTCGAGTACGTCGAGACGAACAGCCTGCTGTTGGTCAGAGCCGTCAGATCGGTCGATACGTCTAGGGGCATGATCCCTTGGACGAACGTGATGAAGCTCCTCAAGGATTACGATGCTGCTGACACCGAGCTGCTGATCTATGCGACGACGTTGGTCAACAAGTGTTTGAACGGTATACCCGACCAAGACACTTATTACGATCAAGTGGACTGTCTCGAGGAGCAGGGCATGGAGGGCATCATACAGAGGTACATGTCTAAGCAGGGTACCGATCTAGACCTGCTGAGGCAGTTTCAAATCTACGAGGCCGTGCTGCATCATGAGGATGGAAACGACAGGGGTTCGCCCATTCGCCAGCTGGACGATAACATCAGGTTGGTATCGATTTGGGGAACTTGTGTCGCTTCGTTTGTCCATCGCGTCCTCCCTTTACCAAGTTTGTTGATCTTTCCGTGTTACACGTAGCGGATGTTTGGTGGAGGAATTTGTTAGGATCCGCGAAGGGAGTTCGGATGAAATTAATTTTCGATGGAATTTTAAGTTAGTCTTGTTTCGGTCACGAATATTGCATAACTTTTTGATAATCGTTTATTCTGGAGAATTTACGATCAATTTGATGCGAATGATTTTCAAAGTGAATTAGAAGTAAACTCGCGCGAGGGGAACGGAAATCAGTCATAGTATCGCTAGTGGTATATGTACAGGATTATTCAGGCACGGCCGCTTCGGCGAGCGCGTGTTTGGACTACTGTCAACAATCGGACGCGTTCCTATGGAATTGATGGTCATTATTCTCACATTAATTCAATCTGTTAATACGTTTAATAAAATTAACAATAATTAATAAAGTTAAGATGACTAATAAGAACGAACTATAAATTTTAATCGATAAGAGCTAGTAGTACAAATCAACGATTGTGTGAGCACACAGTAAATACAGATCTTACCACCTATTTCATCAAAATTTTGTTAGTGTTAGGATAGTGTTTGGATACAATTATTATTATAAGTGGTACTTTTCTCGTAGGAAGACGCTGCGCAACCGGAAGTCCTTGCTGGATTCCCACGAACGACGAAAATCCCGACGACATTCGACGGGCACGTCTCCGTTGTCGATGTCCTTGAACGCGCGGCTAAGTCCGCGGCTCAACCACTCGTTGGGTCTGAGCTCCCTGAGCAACACGCTGAACTCAAGCTTGCCCGACGACGACGATGAGTCCAGCAGTTCCCAGAGTTCGCAAGGCCATCTCGGAGATGTTCAGCTCAACGGCAGTTACAAGGAGAACAAAGGTATCGTACCTCTTCCATGATCAATCTTCCTGAATAATTTACGTTATCTTTGTGAATGACTTATATTGTGTTCTCATTAGTTTATTGATGATATTCACTCATTTATCGCCGACTTTATACAACTTGCATTCATTCTATCTTTGTTATACAAATTCTCATATAAGTGAGATTACGGTTTATTACAAAATGTTTCATGTGTGAGATTCAACATTGATTTTTTAGACGATATTCTATGTAATATCAATTTCATTTTTTGTATGGTTGTTGGCTAGCCAGATGTATACGGTACAGTTTTCTTAGTTTTCCTTTCCCTCCATGAGACAGGTACTCACTTTTGTTCAGCATGTATGTAGATGCGCGTGCATTGATGGGGTGTGTGTATTGTAAACGTACATCGCAAATACGCTCGTTAACGATTCGACCGCCGCGATGAATACGAACTTCATCGCCCACGAGCGACGATTTCCGCGTTAACGTATCGTCCCTCTCCCGGGAGCGAGACCTTGCGGTTTTCAGTTCCCTCGTGCGTTTCGTTGCGGATGCAGTAGCAGAATAGAACTTGGGCGGTTAGAGAAAAGCATTCTATCCGAAAGAGGTTGTGATTGACCACGTTTATTCTGTCGGTTTGGATTTAGTATCCTCAATGGTATTTTTTTTTTCATTTTTGATCATACCTCGTTTATTTTCTCTTTTAGTTTAAAACAAATTTTGCAACAATAAATCATATCTAGAATATTGATCCTTATTCTTTCGTAAAATCTGATAATATTAAATCGAATTTATAGTACTTTAACGATCTCAGAGAATCATAAATTCATGATTAAATTTCTGTACATATACGAAAGATTGAAAATAAAATTCATGTCAAATATCGAATTTCTATCAAGTTCCGTACATTTTTTTCTCATTGGAATATAATCGACAAAGTACAGTACTAACGCGAACGAAATAATTGATACATAGAAGTGAATGCTTGCGAAGTAACAGTACGCATGACGAGCGGAATTTATCGTGACTGTCGTCAGGGGGGACGTTTCCGATCCGTATCGCTATCGATAAATCAAAACGAAAGCGTCGCGTTGTGTCGTGTCGCGATCCGCGATGCCGAGAGCGATCGCGCGGGATAAGCGGTGACCGGTAAATAGTAAATTATAGTTCGGCGTGGAAAATGATCGCCGTCGCGCATGTATCTACACGTGGATGGTTTATGCGTGTGTATGTTTATGTATTGGCGCGGTGAACGGGCCAGGAAAGAAGTGATTTATCGCGGCTTTCAGTGGACGTTGGCGTGACACCGGCGTTAAGACGTCGAAGGGAACGAGCCGAGAGGCAGAGGAGCTTTATCAGGGAGCAGCAAGAGGCCACAGCGAATATGCGAGCATCAGTCGTACCCTCGGACGACCAAGAAAGTTAGTAAACGATTATTCTTATAATCTATGTTACGCTACGTCTTTGTCTATCATTGTTTTCGTACAGGACTAAGAAATCATTGAATCTAGAAAAAAAAAATGTACTTTCGAGATCGATACTTGACCTTCATGTCTCTTAAACTATTAGCGTAAAGAAGAATTTATTCACGTCAAGATATTTCTCCTTTTGATCCATTCAATTATCATCCGAACAAGTTTCTGTGGTCCTTCTATGCTTACTGAATAATCGGACTGTACCACTTTAGCTTGAACACCCTATATAATATACTTAAGTTAGTATAGGAAGGTATTACATACATATGTATAAGGTCAGGTCAGGGTTATAAAGCTCAATATTGGCAGGAAGTAATCCATATAAGCAATTTATGGGAGACACGCTGCTGAGCGTCTCTTTAATCACTGCGCATTGATCAATGTTACAGCGATTGATTGGATATATGATAGAAAGAAAAAATCAATTGGAAAAAAAGAAAGAATGCTAACAATGTTAGTTACCTAAACACGTTATGTCAGTTAATCAAAAAGTAGGAACGTATCACATGACGTAGAAAGCTGTTCATTTCATCGTCTTTCTATGCCAATCTCTTTTGTATCACTTCACAGTATGTATTTGTCGAAACCTGTGTTCCGAACCGTGTAACTTCGCTTGGCTCTCAAAGATGTTTGTGTACCGTTTGCATAGTTTGTTTGAAGTTTCTCTCGGCAGTAGTTCCTCGGGTTGGCCAGTTCGAGTATCAGTTTCTGTTTGCATTTTTAAGGCATCTCCGTCGAACGCGCATTTTCAACTCTCCGTCCCGTATTTGCCTGATTCCGGAATGCTTTGTTTTCCTTCCTTCTCGTTCCTTTAAGGGCGTGATCCTCTAGAAATTCGAATCGTAGTTTAAATCTCGTCTTGCCGAGAGGCGAATAAAAATCTTTGAGGATTTATTGGTAACAGGAAACGGAGTATAAAAAGTTTCAAGCGAAGAGCAAATGTCAATTCTCGTAGGACAATTGTCGCATTTTTTCTGATTGATCGCTGTAATACTGATAAAGATATAATGATAGTGATTGGAGTAATTCAGTTAATAATGTGCGTGAAGGTCCCTACGCGTCGAACGGGCTGCGTTACACGAACGGAACCACGTATGAGAGAAACGCGGACTCGCCGTTGAATAAGTTGTCCAGGACGAACAGTAGGAAAGACTTGACGCCGCTGATGAATGCTGCGAACAAGCTCGACTCCGAGGAGAAGAAACCGTGGTACGGGAAGAGCCCGGACGAGGGTGTCGAGTGCGACGAGGGTAATCACACTGACGAGGATGAGGATCGTCGAGTGGTTCTACAACTCAAGAGGGAAGGAACCGTCAAGGATCTCACACAAAAGCTGGCCGCTCAAAATCTTATACCGAGCAGCCCAGTCGAGGAGAAGGTTTCCAGGTAATTTGACCGTACGACGAGAAAGATTAAGCCGGTCGCGTTAAGGAAACACGTTTCGTGTTCTCGTGTCAACCAGAATCGTTCAATTTATTTCTTTTCTTCTAAAAGTTAGTGTTGTATTACGTGTTCATCTTCTAATAGACTCTGTGTGCTTCTCTTAATGAAATAGTAGCAATGCTTGAAAGGTAATTTAATATTGAATGTAGAATTACAATTTTATTTAGTAAATTTTTCAATTTTTCTGTACTAAAATGAAATCTTGTATATACTTTTTGAAAATCAACAACTCACTATTTCTATATCGAAGTTTACTCGTAAAAGATAACATGTATGTCATAATTTGTGTAAATTAATTTTATGAAACGTTATCTTAAAAACAATTAGTACAAAATTAAATTTCGAACTATTATTGCAAAATCCAATACTAAGAGAGTTCCTTCTTCGGTGTTCAGGATAGGTGATATGAGTGGTCTGATCTCGAAGGCGAAGGAGGGTCTCGCAAAGTCGAAGTCAAAGGCGGACGTGGTAAAGTCTCCTACGGGGGACAATCTGCCGAAGATACAGGAGGTAAAGAAATCCGAGAATGAATTGCACTGGGAAGAATTGGTGAAGAAACTGAAACGACCGCTCGCCCTCTGCGACCTCGACTTCACCGATCTGAATTCCGACGACGAGGTCGACGTTCTCGGCCCGGTGAACGTGACCAACGGGGTGCCACCGCCCCCGCCGCCGATGGTTCCGACAGCCGGTGGCGCCCGTGCACCGCCGCCTCCACCTTTGGGCGCCAGGTTGCCCCCGCCCGTTCCTCAGGCACCGCCACCGTTGTTCGGTGTGAACCTAAAATCGCCGAGGTCATCGACAGCGAACGATGCCGGCAACACGCCAAAGAGTCCACCGCCGACCTTCACCAAGAAGAGCAAGAAAACGGTGAAGCTGTTCTGGAAGGAGGTCAGGGATGATCCGATCATACTGTCGAGGCTGGACAAAAACAAGATGATCTGGGACGAGCTATCCCCGGTACCTGTTGACACACAGAAGCTCGAGCACTTGTTCGAGAGCCGCGCCAAGGATCTCATCACGAAGGTGAGCAACACTTTCATTCTTTTTCGAGCTTCTCGTCTATCGCTCTTTCCTGGGAGAGCTTGTTTCCTTTTTGGTTACCGGCGAGAGGTTTGCTGGGAGGTTTTTGCTATGGGGGAAGTATCTTGTTTCTTTCTTCGTGTCCTTGATACGTAGCTATTACTTGTGCCCGGTATAGGAACATCTGTGTAACGTCTCGTGAACTCTTCATATGTAAGAGGGATTATATTTTGAAAATGTAATATATAGTTTTGGGACAGGTATGTAGAAAAGGGAGGATACTTGTTCTAGTTACATTTAACAATATTTTCTTAACATTTTTTTTTAATGAAAATAAAATACCGAATTATTTTTTATATATATAAATTATTTATTAATAAACGAGATATTAACACAAAACTTCAATGATATTAAATACCAGCAATTTTCTAATTTAATCTAATCTTGCGATCGATTTTGCAATCATTCGTATCATAAAAATACCATCATGAAACGAAAAATCGCATAGCGTTGAGGAAGACACAGAATCTTCCAACAACCCAATACGAACAAAAAAAAGAAATGAATTTCCATCGAGCTTCAGAACTTCGTCAGTTTTCTCGATATATCGTCCATGGTTTATTTTCCATATTCTAGTCGATGAAAAACCATCTCGGCATAGTTTTCGGGTTTGCTGACTTTAGTTAAATTTCATCACGCATCGCACCACCCGCTACCGCAGGAAATGCAATTACTGCGAAGGAATCCGGCGTTATAAAAACGCGATGTCATTCCGGTATCCCACATATTCTGTTGCTGCCTGATTTATACGTTCAGCCGCGTACATCAACGACGTAAGTCATCCCTTGACGGTCGATTTCTCTGATGCACGCGAAGAACGAACGTGTCTATAGTTCCACCTGCCCCTTTACGCTTGTCTCTATCCGTGAGAAGCTTTTCATCGCAAAGAAATTCCGCCGCCAGCTTATCCACAATCCAAAACACACAAAGCTACGTGGCTGGTTAACCGGCTAGCTCCTTCCAGTTCGCTTTAAAGGAGATGGATCATTCAAAACGATTAGATCGAAAGACTCTTCGTACCGAATTTTACTATTTTCTCAAAATCTTTGATCTTAAGGTTTTGTTAAAGATGTTGAACCAATGATAAGAACTTCTATAAAACTTTGATCCTCAACGTGTTTTGAATTTCCCAATGACGAGACTGCTCTTCCAACTTTTATTCTAATTAATGATTTTCAAAGTATTTCTTATCTTAAATTAAGAACAATATTTCTATCTAAATCTTTCAGAGCTTGAACGTCAACATTATCACAAGTGTGAAGATGCGCATTTGGGTTCGCTTGCTAAGAATCTATTGTTTTAATCTCATTACACTATTTAATTTCTCTAATTAGCAAACATTTACCGAAATTTTTATCTCACCAATCGCGAGGTATTTTTTCGCGGGTAATTATTGTCTCGTTAGCGGTAGTCGAGGATTCTGCTTTCCTCTTGGTTCTCCGGGCAGGGCAGTTTTTAGCCGAGATATTTTTGAATAGCGGATACCTAACTACTAGTAGCCGCAGAGTCGAGCGTTAAACACACTGGAGGAACGTTCCGGCCGGAATGGAGTGCTGCAAATTGTATTAAATACACGGTGAGCCCTCCTCCTCGTTTCTTCTCGCGCGCGTGCTCTCTCTCGTACGTGTCTCGACGATAACGGAAGGAATTAAAGGCTCGACGGACTTGGTTCCTGCCTCTCGTTTTTCGTTTCTTTTTTCCTCTCTCATCTCCTCTTGCCGTTAAAATCACAGGGCACCGTTGCGTTCGAACTCTGACGTTCACGGACGCTTTAACGTGCATTCACTGACGAGCGAGTCCGCTTCACGTCGTTTTGTTTTCGTGAAAATTTCAAAGGGTCCCAGATAGGTAGCTGCCGTGTAATAGAGAACGTACATGCATAGAAGTGTTTGGTCGAAACACGCTCGCGCGAGGTAATTATAAAATTTCACGGTGAATAAACCAAGTATTGGATTTCGAAAAATGAAATGGCTTTTTATAAAAAGGTTTTACTTCGTTCATTCTGTACAACGGAGATTTCAATAAATTAATTTGCAGAGATAGTTTCATCGTTCACTTTGGTGAAATGTATAGGTGGATATCCAGTTTCATAATGAATTTTACGACATGCCTGACATTACCTGAATACAGCTGTTCGCAACAAAAGAATTATGCATCCGCACAAGAATTTAATAACGCGGCGTCTATTAGGTTCTTATTTTTATCCGTTGACAGCAAAATCAATAGTATTCATGCAAACGTCAAACAAGGATTTCAATTGAAAAATATCACAAATACACTTTAGTACGAAGAAATATTTGTCATCAAATATTTATGAACACAATTGAATTATTCTTCCTCTAGACTTTTCCCATAACGTTACTTGCTCATATCGTATCTTATTTTTGGAAATATAAATATTCCTTCAAATCCGAGGCAGAAACTTCACTTGGGAAATGTCGACAAAATAACTTAATATTAGACTGATGGTTGTTTCTCAGTACTGTATCTATATATGTATTTCAAAATATAAAATCTTTTTCGATACGAGAATGCTTGCTTGTATCCTCAGGACTATATCGTCCCTATCAAGGCCATTCGCACTCTGTAACCCGTGTAACAATCGTGCAGAGACAGATAAAGCGACAAAGGGAACCCGCCCCGACTTCTCTGGATGCCTTTGACACGGATTACGCGTTTAATCCGGCGCCGTTTCCAACGAAGTTACCTTCCCTCTCTCCTATCTCTCTCTCTCGTCGCCTGTCCCTTAAACCGTTTTATCCTAAACGGCTTTATTTTTGATCGCATGCGGGGTAACAAAACACAAGGCCGCGTTAAGTCGTTTGTTGCGAAGCGGTGTGATGTCGAGGCGGGGCGTTGCGGAATCCTTACGTTTCGATACCTACAGGAGAGCTTTCGTGTTTCAACGAGCAACAGAAGTGAAAAACGTTTGCCAAAGCTTTAAGAGGATGAAAATCCTGCTACTCGTTTTATCTCCCTCGCTCTTCCTTCATCTCTTTATTTATCGTTTTCACGCGTTTAACCAAGTTCGATTTCCTAATCTTTTAAAGCAAATCACCGTTAATCCTTTAATGACTGAGTAGAATGTAAATAATGAATGAAACAGATACGTCAGAAGCCTTTTAAACGCTTATACTTCTTTTCATTATGGTTGCTTTTCTCCATTGTTTATATCACATTCAGTTTTCTGTTGTATTATATCTTTCTTGTTTCATACTGTTTGTGTCGTTACTTTCCTATATTCTTTATAATAGATCATTTTTTGTTTCCCAAGTTTATCTCTTCTCTTCATCGTTCTTTGACTTTTGAATCTTACATGAGGGAGCTTTACTGAAGTCTTTAAGTTTTGTTACGGTTATATTCATTTCAAAACAGTCGCTTTATTTAATATTAATCATTCAATCAACGACGCAGAATTGTTTCAGCCGTGTTATAAAGGGATAGACGTTGTTTGGACGATGTTCTTCGGAGCTTCACCCTCCGAGTCGAGCTTCCGTTCTCTTTTCAACTTGCAAGCAAGGAAGTATTAGGTACTGCGTCGCACTGGTCAGTTACGAATGTCAACGAGCTCAAAGGATTTAAATTTCCGGCTTGTTCTCTCACCCCCATTCAGTTTTCTCTCGTTCCTCTTCCGTCCTACTTTTCTATCAGATATTATTTTGTTGAACAATGATTCTCGTCTCTGTTATATTGTACTTTCCATAGTTAAGAAATGGAGTTCTTGTTTTACATCCTATTAGTGATGTCGTAATTGGTCTTTTATACTATGTTATATTAATGTACAGAAAAATCATAAAAATTCCAATTTGTGAATTAAATGTAGTTTTATGCTTTTCAGCGAATGATAGAAATTAGGTAGGCTGTTATAAAAACGTATTCAATCTCTCATGTATTCTATTTAAGAAACCCTGAAATAATTTCAGAAGTTGTATTCAAGTAACGTAGTCAGCATTCAAGCTCGATACAAAGTACGAATTTCTCTTTACGTCCGTTAAAGTGTTCAGAGAACTAATTTTACTGGCGTCCCATTGACGTCAATTTCCTCGGCGTGAATACTATTTTCCCAGAAGCAAATTATTATTTCAAACTGTGATGTTTATAACTTGTAATAAATATCTGGCGTTAATTCACGTTACCACCTAGTGAAAATACGTATTGAAAAAATATAGAACGACGACGTCAAAAAATTACCGGCCGCGTGTTATTGACAATTTAGCAAACGTTCTCCTCGGTTCGAGAAGCCACGTTTCCCGCTCGTCAATTGAATATCATTGAATAAATTTCATTGGTACGGAACAGAAAATGGCTGTACGTACTTTTCTGTTTCGATCGTCACAAATCTTTCCGCGCAGTTCGAAATGCGAGCGTATCGAATTTTTTGGCAATATCTATGGTATAAAATTGATATTCTTCATCCAAGAGATAAGTAACGACCAAGTATATGGCTCCCGTTTCCATCCAAGTACATATTTATTCAGAAATCTTCATTAGTTGTCAGTTTTTATATGAAATCCATACTTAATGAAGTATTGTTAAAAATGTTCGGGGGGGAGACACTTTTTTATTTTTGTTCGCATTATCTCGATTGTAATCGATAAAAAAGAGGAAATATGAAGTCCTGATTATCGGAATTCATGGTTACAGAAATTATACATTCTTGAAG